GAACTAGGTTGAGCGGGTCATCTTCATGCTGCCCATACTCTTATTAATGTTAATATCCATTCTTATAAGTCAGTGTCTGACAAGGAGAAGCAACCACCAGTGTTCACCATAGTTATGTTGGATTATAAAAAATAATGTATACATGTCAGTTTTATTTGTCTGCCAGATTTACAGTAAATTCGGTCATCTAGAATAGGAGGTGGCAAACACAGCCACATTCATTCCTTTGTATTTATAGTGCCCTTAGGCCATATTGGACTGCAAAGCCTAAAATACTTACTGTTTGGCTCATTACAGAGAAAGTAGCTAAGCCCCGATTTTGAACTATGCTGTTCAGTATGGTGGTCCCTAGAACTGTACTAGTTAATATGGTCCAATTGAGCACTTGAAATGTGGCCGGTCTGAACTGAGATAACACTGTAATTGTGAAATGCCTATCACATTTCAGAGACTCATTTTCACCTGTTTCTTTTTACCTTTTAGTATGACTCCTAGAAAATTTTAAATGACGTGTGGTTCACATTATATTTCTATTAAACAGCACTGCTCTAGAAAGTAACTGGTAACTTAGAAAGTAAGCAGATAAAAGCTGTCCTTAGGCAAAAGCCTATTAAATACAGTGTTAAGAAGCAAAGAGAGCTTGGCACCTAGAAGCATTTGACCCAAGTTCAAGTCCCAGAAAACCCAAGTCCTTACCAAGTCCTCATGCTGTTTCCTCTGCCTGAAATAATCTTCACAGTAATCGCTCACCGTGAATTCTCTTTATCATTTGAGATTCAGCTCAAATACTAAGTTCCTCTGCAAAAGCTCCCTTTACTCCAAAGACCCTCCTGCTCCCACAGCCCTTTTGTGTACTATAATTATCTGTTTGCGTATTGCTCCTGAGACCCTAAAGACAGGGTTTGGAATAGATACCTAGCGCCCTGCATATATTGGGTCCTCAGTGGTTTTTATTTAATGAATGAATATAAAATTGAGTAAATACATGAGTTACCAATTTAACGAGCTGGGGTATTTGTCTTAACCTTCTGAGTAAGTAACATTGGTTGTAGGCTTGGTATAGTAGTAAAGCTTAGAATGGTTACAGGAAGCAGATTTGGTGAGAAGCCACAAGGAGGCGGCCCGCGTGGACAGGCACAGCTCCCCGGGGCTGCTTACTGTGAGCCCGCTCGCTCTCTTTTCCCTTTTCCTAAAGGTGTCACTGTAATGGCACAGGGATATAAATGATCACTTTTATTTGACATAAAGATTATGTATGATACAGTACCTAATCTTTTTTTTTTTTTTATGTGGGAAAGCATGTAATTTTTGAAAGATCTTCATCAGAACTGGTTAAAATAAGATTTTTGAGACTTCAAGGAGTAACATTTAAATATTTCAGTTAAATGTAGTAGACTTTACAAGTGCTGGGTCGTGTTCATAAAGATACATGTTACAAGCCCGATTTCTTGGAGATCAGAGGGTTAGGGGAAGGAAATCTAGAGTAGCTGTCCTTAAGGATTTGTCTTTGGGTCTACTAAGTAGATGTTATCAGTTAATGATCAATTATCAGTTAATGATATTAGTGGTTTCAGTTAGTGAGATAGTAGACCTTGGCAGACATTTCAGAATTTGCATGACCCTCGGTCCTGGCTTATCACTGTTTCAGGGTCAGTGTTGTAGAGATTTAGAAGCCTTGAGTTGAGTTATGTGGTTGATTGTCGGGACACAGTTCTTTAAATCTTAATGTTTTTAGGATATTATTCTTTTGATGAAGAATAAAGATGAGATTTTTTTTTTTTTTAATTTTTAGGTAGCAAGAAAGTAGATTTTCTTTTGAATAGTGTATGAAGTAGATTTTAAGGTGAAAGAAATGGGCGTTTTAATATATTTTCTTCCATTTACACTTCCACTCATCATGGTCAGTTATTTATAAGTAGGTGATTCCTTGTGGAAGTTATGCACAAACAGAATGTTTTAGTGTCTCTTTTCCCATCCCCTCCATGGTTAATTATTGAAGGGAAAAAGCTTTGTATTCATTTATTTATGAAATGAATAGCTTATTTATGAAACCATGGTCATCAGAGACATCAAAGGTAGTAGAGAACTAAATAAAAAAATGTATTCTTATAATTTATAAAAAAATCATTTCTTTTATGAACGTTCGTCTTACCCTCATATTTCTTAATCAGTTACCAATTTGTGAGTATATTCAAAATTTATCCTCTCCTATTCGTTCTCATTGCCATTGTTTTGGTTTACAACATCATCATTTCTTGTCTGGATTTATTGCATTTCTCTTTTGTGGGGTCCTTCTCATCCTCTCCTGCCAGATCAGTTACTCTCCTGCTTACAATTCTTAGTTTCCTCAAAGCCCTTGTATGATATACACAGGCTCCTCGTGATATGACCTCTTGCCTCCTTCCCAGTCATAAACTCCACTGCTATCAATAATGGAAGATATAATTCCACTATCTGCTGGCTTCTGTTGTTGGTGTTAAGTCAGGTACCCAGCATAATTTCAGTTCTTTTGCAGGTGATTTTTTTTTTTTTTTTAAATAAACCTATATGTTACACACAGTTTCATTATGATATAGCTAAGTGTAGATTTTTATTTACCCTCTTGGGATTCTTTGGCTTTATTTGAGGATTGGCATCTTTTAATAATTCTGGAAAGTTCTCAGCCATTTATCATTTCAAATTTTGTCTTTCCTTATAGCTCTTTGATTTGATGCATTTTGGACCTTCTCATTCTCCATGCCTTTTTTCCCAATTGAAGTATTATGAAAAGATACAGTCTAAATGTCCAATAGAAGATTGAATAAATAATATTTCAGCCATAAAAACAGAATAATAGGCCAATAAAATGACGTAGAAGAGTATGTAATGACATGGAATGGTGTTCACAATATATTAAGTGAAAAAAGCATATTACAAAATAGTATGCATAATGAGTCCATTATTATATGTATATTTGCCAAAGTAAAGGGACAAATGACATTTACCAAAATATCTTTGAACATCATAGGATAATGGGTGATTTTTGTTAGGCTTTTTTAGGAATAGGGAGTTTGGGTTTTAAATTTTCTATAATGAAGATTACTTTTAGGATAAGTAATTTTAGAGGGGTTTATTAAATTTATATTAGCTCAAATATGCCCTCAGAGTTCATTCTGGCAAAGCAAATATTTCTGGGAAATTACTTATATCTTATAAATTTGAGTGCCCATCGCTCTTATTTTTAGGCAAAATATACAATAGCAATTATTAATACTGAAATAAAAATACTCAAGTAAATTATTGCTGAGGAGAACAGTTGAGAAAATATAAATGCTCATTAAAAAGTATACTACTAAAATGATAGATTGCATCATCACGGTGTTTTGCAAAGACAGAGACAGCAGACTCGTCGCAGGCTTCCGTTTCCCATTTCAGCGGTCATGCTGTTCACGCATTTTTCTGTGCAGAGGTCTGTCCACACGTGATGTGTGATATTTATTGGTTCCCATAGTGTAATAGGTAAGTTGACCTTTCACTTGAAAAGGTAAAATAAGGACATTTACTATCAGATTATAAATTCCTTTTTCTGGAAAAAATGCTATAGTGTTTGAAAATATGCTTTGAAAAATACGTGAAAATGAAAAAGATACCATTTCAAGATGTGTGTTAAACTTAGAAGAAGTTCAATTAAGACTATCTCAAAGACCAATCTAACCTTAACAAAGAGTTGCAATAACTAAAGACTTTTAGCAAGCAAAATGGGCAAGGTAAGCAACTGTTACAGGACACCAAGTTTAATAGGGTGGACACTAACTTTTGCGTTAGCATGTAATTTTTAATTATATTGAAAACGTTGCTTAAGCTAGAAATATTTTGCCAAAGAAAAACTTTTAAAAATTTTATTAAATACATCAAAAGCTAAAAATGTAAGTTATTATGCAAGATATTATGTGTGAAGACAAATTTATTTAAGAATAAAGGCAAATCGCATTCAAAATTAACTGTACCCATATTTTATTAAAAGGGAAGACATTAATTAAATCAGCTGCTTGCTTAAATTACAATAGCACCACGATTCAGTATGAAAATAAGAAATTGTCTGAAAATCCATAAAAATAATAAATCGCAATAAATAATGCACATGGGAGTCATACAGAGCAGCAAATTCTCATAAACATATTTTAATACCTTTAAAAAGCAATTTTTTTAAGTCATGAAAAAGATTCTCATTAGTTAATGATTAACTTATACCTCAATTAGTCAACTTTATGTGTGTCTGATTATAGTCATCCTCCTGGTTGGGAAAGATATTTCATTGTGGTTTTGATTTGCATTTCCCCAATGACCAGTGATATTGAGCATTTTTTCATGTGGTATTGGCCATTTGTATATCTTTCTTGGAAAAATGTCTGTTTGGATACTTTGCCTGTATTTAAATTGGATTTTTTTATTTTTTTAATTTTTTTTACTGAGTCGTAAGAGTTCTTTATATACTCTCAATACAAGTTCCTGATCAGATTTGCAAATTTTTTTTCCCATTCTCTTTACTTTCTTAATCGTGTCCTATCTTTTGCAGCAGAAAAGTATTTTTTTTTATTTTTGATGAAGTCCAGTTTATCTAATGTTGCTTATGCATTTTAGTAGTCACAGTTGTTTATCAGTTAATGATCAACACAGTCACATGTTGCTTATGCATTTTAGTAGTCACAGTTGCAGAATCCATCTAGAGGATCTAATTTCTCATGCTGTCAGAGTTAGATCTTATAGCATCATATGGCTAATATAGTTGTAATTACTGTGTGTTCATATAGTAGTTTTGTTTTTTCTACTTAGGATTTTTATGTATAAATTTCCTTCTATTTATATTGCCCATGCTTTATTTTTAAGAGCTCTGTTGTGTTTTGTGGTTGTACCGTAGTTTATGTAGTCATTTTTAGCTTGTTTGTTTTTCAACTTTATGATTTAGCGCTGGTAGGTAGCTGTAGCCATCAACTTAAAAGTTACATTTTTTCCCCTCTTAGGTCGGGTTGACATAAAACAATTGATGGCAAAGAAGAGACAGTTGACAGTAGAGGCAGAGGTAAGTAACTCCTTCTAGAAACAAAAAATGTAGAGTTTTAGGATAAGAGTTTTATGTAGTAAAATTTTTAATGCCAAATTGCTTAAATAATTATTTACTTTTCTTATTAGTTGACATTGTCCTGCTGTGGAACAGGAAAATAAGGTGTGCCGCGTGTCATCCTACATAAGAACCAGGTTACCCTTTTCTCTTCTATCCTACCTCACTGTTGTTTTCTGCCTGTGACCAGCAAAACTTGGTTTTAGTGAGCCATGGTCTGGTTGAACATCCATATGAGTGTGTGTGATAGGGCTTTGTGAAAGTATCTGTCAAGGTTCATGGTAAATAATAGGCTTCCAGTAAATGCTGAGTCTGCATCTAGAAGTAGATTCCCTGTAAGGGATGTAGAAGAAAGATCGACTGAGAAATAATGACATGGAGCCATTTTGAGCTGGATAAACAGTTCTACAAGTCAGA